TGAGAATCCTCAAGGGGAAAACAACTCAGGAAGCTTGGGAATCCCAGTCTAGCAAAATACCAACAAAAATAACAGGAAAAATAACAGCTCTCAAAAGAAACCAGCATGGCTGCATAAAGAACTCTCTGACAAATTAAAAGATAAAAAGGACAAGTATAGAAAGTGGAAATAGGGGGCACATAACTAAGTCAGAATATCAGCAAATAGCCTGAGCCTGCAAAGATGAAGTGAGGAAAGCTAAGGCTCATAATGAACTTGCGACCAAAGTCAAAAATAACAAAAAACGCTTTTTTCAACATGTAAAAAACAAGAAAAAAGTGAAGGAAATGATTGGTCCATTAGTGGGTGAAATTGGCAAGAAGGTGACAAGCAACAGGGAGAAAGCGGAACTATTTAACTCGTTTTTTGCATCTGTCTTTACACAAACAGACCAACCTACCAAAAACAGTACCATAAAAAACAGAATAGAAACACAAGTTAAGATAGGCAAGAAAACGGTAAGTGAGCACCTGTCCAGCCTAGACGAGTTCAAAACACCAGGACCAGATAGATTATACCTCAGGGTTCTCAAGGAACTGGCAGATGTGATCTCAGAACCACTGAACTATATTTTTCAAAGATCCTGGAGCACTGGAGAACTACCGGAGGACTGGAAAAGAGCTGATGTAGTGCCCATCTTCAAAAAAGGAAAAAAAATGGACCCAGGAAATTACAGACCTATCAGCCTGACCTCAATACCTGGGAAGATTCTGGAAAAGATAATCAAACAATGAATCAGTGAGCACCTAGAGGCAAACAAAGTCATTACTAAAAGCCAACATGGGTTTGTCAAAAACAAATCATGCCAGACAAATCTTATTGCATTCTTTAACCAAGTAACAAAATTAGTGGATCAGAGGAATGCTGTGGATATAATTTACTTGGACTTCAGTAAGGCATTTGATAAAGTAGATCAAAACCTACTACTTGATAAGATAGAAAAATGTGGGTTAGATAGCATCACCACCAGATGGATCCGTAGCTGGCTGACCGTTCGTACTCAGCGTCTGGTCCCCAATGGAACTGCATCTACATGGAGGGAAGTGTGTAGTGGGGTGCCCAAAGGCTCTGTTCTGGGCCCAGTGCTCTTCAACATCTTCATCAACGATTTGGACGAGAGGATAAATGGGGAACTCATCACATTTGCGGATGACACCAAGCTGGCAGGAATAGCCAACACTCCAGAAGACAGTCTTAATAATAATAATAAATCTTTATTGATTAGCCCTTGGGCCATATCAAAGTGCAAAGTTCCAGCAACAAATTATTACTAAAGGTTGATAAAAGCAATTTAAAATGAAATTTGATAAAATACAGTTTAAAATGGAATTAGAATAAAATATGACTTAAAATGAAATTGGAATAAAGTACAATCTAAAATGAAATTAAAATAGAGTACAGTAATTTAAAATATAGATAAAATATGATAAAATTATATCTTGGAGTCACCTTTGCAATCTACCCCAATCAGTCCCACATAAGCAGATCTCAACCAAACCATTTTGTTTAAATACTGTGCTGCGTTAAATGTTATTTTCAAGTTCTGGCTGCACATAAGGTAAGTTGTTTTGATATGGGGATCCCAATGACCAAGGTACCTGTCTCTCACTCTCTTGTACAGGCAACAATCAAATAGTATATGAGCCAGGTCTTCTACCAGACTTAAGATACAGGATGACCTGGACAGACTTGAACACTGGGCACCATCTAACAAAATGAAATTCAATGGTGAAAAAAGTAAGTTTAGGGAAGAAAAACCAAATGTACAGGTATAGTATAGGGGGTACCTTGATCAATAGTAGTAACTGTGAGAGGGATATCGGAGTCCTAGTGGACAATCACTTAAATATGAGCCAGCAGTGTGCTGCAGCTGCCAAAAAGGCCAGCACAGTGCTAGGCTGCATTAACAGTGGGATAGAATCAAGATCAAGTGAAGTATTAATACCACTTTACAAGGCCTTGGTAAGGCCACACTTGGAATACTGCATCCAGTTTTGGCCACCATGATGTAAAAAAGATGTTGAGACTCTAGAACAGTGGTGGTGAACCTATGGCACACGTGCCAGAGACGGCACTCAGAGCCCTCTTTGTGGGCATGTGCACTTTTGCCCCAGACCCCCTCCCCACCATCAGCCCCCCCCCCGAGAGTCACCCCTGGGCGTGGCCCGCACATAGCAGCACAGCCAAGGACATGATAGCCGGGGACAAGACTCTGCCCTCATGCCCCATCGTGTGCAGATGATGATGTGGGGCATGGGTGAAGGGCATGGCTGCCATGGCACTGCTGGGCCACCTGGGCAATCTGCTGCTTTGGGCCGTGGATGGCCCTGTGGATGGGGTGGGGCACTCGGGGCACTCGGTCTCTAAAAGGTTTGCCATCACTGCTCTAGAAAGACTACAGAGAAGAGCAACAAAGATGATTAGGGGACTGGAGGCTAAAACATATAAGGAACAGTTGCTGGAATTGGGTATGTCTAGTTTAACAAAAGAAGGATGAGGGGTAACATGATAGCAGTGTTCCAATATCTCAGGAGCTGCCACAAAGAAGAGGGAGTCAAGCTATTCTCCAAAGCACCTGAAGGCAGGACAAGAAGCAACAGATGGAAACTAATCAAGAAGAGAAGCAACCTAGAACTAAGGAGAAACTTCCTGACAGTTAGAACAATTAACCAATGGAACAACCTGCCTTCAGAAGTGGTGAATGCTTCAACACTGGAAGTTTTTAAGAAGAGACTGGACAGCCATTTGTCTGAAATGGTGTAGGGTTTCCTGCCTGAGCAGGGGGTTGGACTCGATGACCTCCAAGGTCCCTTCCAACTACTACTACTACTACTACTACTACTACTACTACTACTACTACTACTACTACTACTTCTTCTTCTTCTTCTTCTTCTTCTTCTTCTTCTTCTTCTTCTTCTTCTTCTTCTTCTTCTTCTTCTTCTTCTTCCTATTATTATTATTATTATTATTATTATTATTATTATTATTATTATTATTATTATTATTATCTGTGTATAGAAATGCAGGTGATTCTCAAATGCTCTATTAAGACATGGGAACTGTATGCCAATGAAAAGGGAATATTACAGTAGTCTGAATCTTTTTTTGAATAATCATGTCATAATATAATTATCAGTTCTTCTTCTTCCACACACAGGTTGTATGGGAAGATCCTCATCAAATGTCAAAAAATGTGAACATAATTGTACTTTCATCAATCAAAGAACTGTGTCTGACTAAATACAACTATTCCAAATAAAGCATCTAGGGGAAAAAATTGCTTCAGCATATCATGTGGAGGGAATAGATCACCTCCTCCCATTTATCTATAGACTGAATTTATGGCAGAGTGATGGAATGTAGTAAGGAAGTGGATTCCCAGGATGAAAGGGATGCATTTCAGATAAGTAAAAGGCAATTCAGTATGAATATTATGTCTGAGAGAAAGAGAATGAAGATAGTCCCTCCCTGATAATTTACAGAGTATATTGTACATACTGACAGTGTTGTGCTCGGATTGGCAAGAGTTTATAGTTGTAAAACAATAAGAAATCAGCATGGAAGAATCACCGTGTTTCATTCTTAGTTCTGGGATTGACAGGCAGTTAATTTCCCTGACAGAAGATATGTGGTTAAAATTCTGAACAATGCCATTTACAATTTTAATAGCAGCATATTGTTGGAAGTCAGCACCCACCTACCCTCCTAGAGAAGGAAATATTTTGGGGAATATTAAAAAGCAGAATATTATATTTCCCAAAGGAATACAGTAATGGAGAAAGAAAATCTTAAAAGACAGAAACCAGCCCCAGCCCCTCTCCCCCAGGCAGAGGCCAGCTCTGTAGAAATGCAGATTTGACAATCCTATTCAGAAAGGTTGGAGCCAGGAAGCTAGAAGCTGATGAGAGTAGAAAGACAAAGACCCCTAAAATCTACACACCCAGTGGTGGGATTCAAATAGGTGAACAACCGGTTCTCTGTATGGATGCCGTTTCCAGAAGTCCATTCTGGGCCTGGGCAACAAAAAATTAGCTATCGGTTCTGTCAAAGTGGTGTGAACTGTACATACCCCACCCAAACTCTAAAGGCATGACCTTTAGGACATTAAGATTAACCCACCACTATCAGAATACCAAAAGGACATGCTCAGAATCTCAAGTCAAAGTACATGACACAGGAAATACAAAGCCCCAGGAAAAGGAACTCCAAACACAAGCCCAAGAAGGTATAAAAACCCACCACTCCCTGTTCCATGTGGTCAGCTTTCCCAGAGCCACCTTTCTATCTGGCTCTGCTCTTCAATAAACTACAACCTTCTTTCTAAAGCAGTCTCCATTTTGTTTATTCCTGACTTGGACTGGACCCTGATGAAGATTTTTCTTTCAACAATATGAATATTTTGATTAGTTAATCTATTAAGTGTTTTCCAGTGAGATTGGTCAATCAGGGCAACTTGGTGTACCCCAAATATGGGATGAAGCATACTGCTTCCACTTTCACCTTTCAGCCCCAATCTAGGAGCCTTCACAGGAAATCACTTCTACAACAGACTATTTATGTGTTAAATTTAAATTTATCAACAAAGAATTAAAGGGAGACTAGTATGGCTATTTTGAGCTATTTCACTCTCATCAACTAGCCATACCCTTCTGAGATTCAAACCCAGGCCACTTGTATGTTAGGCAGTTAGTATTAAACTCTAGGCCACAAGATCTCCTCACTTTGTTAGCTGTATCAAGGGGAAGAGTAAGTGTTTAAATAACTCAAAATAGCTATACTAGTCTCCCTTTAATTCTTTGTAGGTAAATTTAAATTTAACACACCAATAGTTAATCTATTATTACATCTCACTTTTAGGCTTAATATCAATGTTCCTGGAGAATATTGTTTGCTAGAGTTTATGGACATATGTTGCAACAACAAATATGGTGGTTTCTGCACCAATCTACTTACAGACTTACCTGCCACCATACTTGATTGTGAAACTGTTTCCTTCCTTCTTTCACTATGTTTTTTCCCCTGGATTTGGATGAATACAGAGATTGCAAAGCATGTGCCACAACGTGGACTGCATTGTAAATATTGTAACTCTGGCCATGCATGTGTGTTTCAAACACAGATGTGGGAAGGGTCTCAAGCCTCTCCTGTCCAGTACATTTCTTCTCAGATTTCTTCATTTTTGAGTTTGGGAAGAAACAATCAAATGCCTGTTCCCAAAAATCTTTCCGAAAATGATCATGGTGGTTGTTGTTTGGACTTAAGTTCTGAAGAAATTCCTGGAAGTCTTGGATCTTCTTTGTGTGAACTGCAAAGAATAAAGCACCATGTAGGAAATGGATATCCCAAGATTTTTGAAAGGAAATTGAAGTGTAATCTGTCTGAGCTGTTATAAGCCAGATCTTATTCTTTCTTGGTATATCCTCCACTTCTGAAAACTGGAGAAAACTTCTCATAACTGATATGGACTGAATTTCACCATATAAAATTACCACATTAGCAATGCTGTTCATGAGAACATGGTAGATATGTAGCCCTTTATCTATGGTATCAGTAAAATCACTGTAAAAAGCTACATTTGGGAACTCTGCTATGAACTCAGTGCAGATGCCATGCTCAGAAAATGTGGGGAGAATCTCCTGGACAAATTTCTCTCCTTTCTCATCCTTTACTACAAGAATTCCAATCCAGATCCATCTAAAGTACAGCAATAGCTGCAGGAGGCCCTTATGTTGGTGGGATTCATCTGGAAACATTTGTTGGAAGAAAACTGCTTGAGTCTCTTTATCCAGGACTGGAGCAGGGCCATAGGACAACTATAGAAAGACAAACATATGCAGTTCCAAAAGTCTTTGAGTGTCCCTGAGCTTATATAATTAAATATGAATTATATTTATTTAGAAATATCAACCAAGATATCACTATTAAGGTATCAGTAAATACCTTTTCCTGGAAGTAGTCTCATTGTGAATATTTCAGTTTTGAACTATAGTTCAACGTCTAGAATTGGAAAATGTTTTGCTGTGTCAAATATCTCCGTCTGTTCAATTATTCATGCTGCTATGATGAGTCTATCAAGCAGAAAATAATATCTAGGAATCTGAAAGGTCTCCCCTTTTTACAGAAAAAAAGGATACAAATGTCTGTGGAAGTATGGCAAAATGATAATGTATATCTTCAGCACAACTTACCTGAGGAACCTTGTAGATGTCCAATACAGTTGCCATGTGAAGAGAAATGTCAGGTGTCCCAATGACTGCAGCCAAGGTATTTGGGACCCCACACTTGTAGTTAGGAATGAATTTTCCCTGAGTGAAAGGCAGAAGCATTGAGGCAAAGTAAGTCCAGCCTGGACTAAAATGGCTGTTAAAAATGTGGAAGCCCAGTGTGACATTGGGTAGAATTTGTGAGTTTTCATTAATCTTTTTTACAGTAAACACTAAGGCTAGGATATGCTGATAATTCTGAAAAAATACTCTGCAGAAAAAAACAAAGTTAAAAATGTAGTAATAAAGGTCTGCTTCTTATTATAGCATTTATAATCTTCCAGTACAACACATTTTGTGGAATGTGCTTTAATATAGTATCTTTATTATTCATCTCAGATCCTGGAAACTGCAAAGCAAAATACTAGTACATATATACTCCTCAAGGAACTAGAATTATTTGTAATACAAAACAAACACTGGATTGAAATCGGAAGCATTGTTTCTTAATATGTGAGAAAAGTACAGTATCCAATCCCAGTTTTAAGTATGGTTTATATCCAGAGGGAAATTGTTAAATTCATGGACCAGAAATATGAAATGACAACTATTATTGTGGGAAATATGCTCCCCCTCACAAATATCTTAATGGTAGTTACATCTTCATACATGAAGACATATATTATTTTATGTTTATAGATACTTAGATGGCATTTCTTATAAAGGGAAATTTGGCCTCCTTTTCAGCTTTACATGGAAAAGTGAAATATAACTTCACATAAAACAACTCTGTCATCCTGTTTAAGATGCTTCTTTTTGGAGCTTTTGTCATTACAGGAAAACACTTCAAGCATCATGTGATTTAACAGCAACATCCAGAACTTGATAATGAATTGTTGATGTACTGTACTTACATAAGTCCATCATGAAATCCCTGAGAAGGATGTTGACTGAAATCAATGGGTTTAGAAAATGTAAAGAATACAGAAATTATGCCAGCAATATTAATCTCACCAAGTTGATGATATGTGTGATGAATAGGAAGAGGCTCATCAAAGTCACATTGAATTCTATGATTGTTGCACACCACTTGAGGCAATACTATCAATAGTAACTCCATGAATACTAACATCTTCCATGAGTATTTCCTTTCTGTATAAAAATGCCTCTGTCTGCAACAATATCTTTGAAGTAGATCAGAAGGACTGGTCTCGGGATATTTTTCTGACAAAACTAAAGAAAGCAACATACTATCAAATCAGCCGACAAAGCTTTGGGGTTTTCATTCATGAGGTAGAATATCATGGAAATGATAAATAACATCCTTCAAGGTCAGTTCCTCCTTTTTCCATGGAGACCCATAGGCTTTGGAAAACACAAACAAGCTAATTCCATAATGATAGTGACACTGTCACCTATGTAAACATCTTCAAAACATCTGAAAGCCTCCTGAGGCAAGAAGGAATGAGTAACAAGAAAAAAATAAAATCTTGAGATCTATAAAACAAAATAGAGATGTAAATATAGGCATTGATTATAGCTACTGTAAATACATTCTATTCTATTCTATTCTATTCTATTCTATTCTATTCTATTCTATTCTGTTCTGTTCTGTTCTGTTCTGTTCTGTTCTGTTCTGTTCCGGTCCAGTCCAGTCCGGTCCAGTCTGTTCCGGTCCGGTCCATTCTATTCCATTCCATTCATCCACTACACTACACTACACTACACATTCCCCATTCTCTACTCCATTCCATTCTAGTAAGATTCATGCATTCTTTCAGAAATTGATAGGTTTATTACACTTCTTGGTTGTCATGTGATTGAATTCAGACTGTTTCAGATTGGCCTATTTTGTCATATGATGCTAATTCATGAAAACTGCATTGGGAAACAGACAACCGCATAATACAGATGAGTGGGAATGGGTTTACTAGCCACAGAACAGAGGGGGAAAAATCAGCTTTGGTATAGACTCAAACCATATTTTTAATTTAAAAACTGAATAATATAAGAGACTAGACTAAAATAATAAAATAAAATAATGTCACCTGACTGCAAGGTGCTGCAAACAGCTATAAGTGCAGGTCAATTGCCAAGCACTCAAAATACGATCTGTTCAGCCATCTGAATAGGAGGGGCTGTTTGCCCATCAGAACTTTGAATCCAGGTTTTGGCCATGGCGATGTCCTGGTTATCTTTCACTTGTCACTTAGCAACTCATCGTAACTCAAGACCTACCTATAATTGCAGGAGCCAGTGGTAATAAAGGAAAAACTTTTTGCCACAATTTTTTGATCCCAGTATCTGAGGGGCTGCCACAAGGCAGAAGGGGTCAGGTTGTTCACCAGAGCACCAGAGAGAAGGACAAGAAACAATGGTTGGAAACTGATCAAGGAGAGAAGCAACCTGGAATTAAGGAGAAACTTCCTGACAGTGAGGAAAATCAACCAGTGGAACAGCTTACCCCCAGAAATCGTGGGTGCTCCATCACTGGAGATGTTTAATAAAAGATTAGACAATCACCTGTCTGACATGGTGTTGGTTCTCCTGCTTAAGTAGGGGGCTGGACTACAACACCCCCAGGCAGTGGCGTAGCATGGGTTGTCAGCACCCGGGGCAAGGCAAGTAATTTGTGCCCCCCCCCTCCACAGTGGGCGGCGACCCAGTGGCTCGGATCGGATTCGCACAGGCAGGGGCAGAGAGCTGCGACTGCGAGCGCGCCCCCCCAGATGTTGTGCCCGGTGCGGCCGGCCCCCCCTGCACCCCCCACGCTACGCCTCTGCCCCCAGGGTCCCTTCCAGCTCTATTCTATTCTATTCTAAATACCATTTTGGATCTATGAAAACAGCACACAAAGCACCTTCAGGAGGTGTATATATTTTGCAGAGTTGGAAAGGACCTTGAAGTTCTTCCAGTCCAATCCCTATCTTTTGCAGGATACCCTATACCATTTCAGATAAATGATTGTCCAGTCTCTTTTTGAAAGCCTTTAGTGATAGAGCACCCACAATTTCTGAAGGCAATATATTCCAGTGGTTGATTGTTCTCACCATTAGGTAATTTATCCTTAGTTCGCAGTTACTTCTCTCCTTTCTAAGTTTGCATCCATTGTTTCTTGCCTTTTGGTACTTTGGAAAATAGTTTGACCCCCTCATCTTTGTAAGAGCTACTTAAATACTGGAACACTGCTATCATATCTCCCCTAATCCTCCTTTTCATTAGACTAGGCATAGCAATTCCTGTGTACCACTAGAGAAAACTCATCACAGTCTTCCCTATTAGCATACTTACAAAATGAATTGTTGTCAAAGCAATACAGGTTAGTGGCAAACACTATTTAAATCTCATTTCTATTAGTGAAACACTTAATATTTTCCAAAGAGCACTACACCCTATCTCTTCTGCTATAGCCACAAAAAAGAGAATTTCCAAAGACACTGCAAATGTGAACCAGTGGGCACCCAGAGAAACCAGCATGATTTCATAACCTGGCATTTAGAATCATGTTGTACCTCTCAGTCTAGTGGTGCAACATTCTATGCACTCAACAGATCATGGAACATGCTCTTTAATACAGTGAACATACTTGATACAGAGATCACCCAATTTCCTAGAAAAAGACCATTGTATAAATTGGATGCTAGCATCTATTGAACTTCTGGTGGTATTTATTTGGATTTGCCAGAATTGTATTTTTTCCCCCAGAGATTTTAATCGCCTTTGCTACTAAGGAGAAGACATATGGCCAACTGAAAGATTTTTTAAATTTACCTCACTTTTCATTGAGTACCACTACATATGGTGTGTACCAGAGGATCTGTAAGGTTTGATTGCTTCAGAGATAATTCATAGGACCTCCCTGTTTAACCAAAGGCTTATTTGTATTTAATCTCAACTTCTTTTTACATATTCTATTGTGCACGTAAGTTAAGATGACCAGTAAGGACAATTTAAACATTCACATGAAAGCTATATATTTAGTGGAAGACTGTTATTCATAGCAAAATTATAACCAATCAAATAAGGAGGAACAATACCCATTGTTCTGTAAACAGAAGTAAGAATTGTTGCAATCCTTAGCCCCACTATATACTGATATATGTCAATAAATAAAGTTCTGCTATTGTTGGTTTATTTATACAATTTGTTCTGAGATATCCAAATTTCAGGGGACAGACAACATGAAATACCAATGTATCTGCACATTGCTTTTTTGGTTACATGTCCAAGTTCTTCAACATGTCGATATAAAAAGTATGAGGAAAACAAACAGATTTCTTAAAACTTTTTTTTCATGAGCTGATGTTTAGTATTCAGTTCAGGTCTCATCACAATGATAAAGCACTTGGGAAAAAAGATGCACACCAATAAGCCAGCACTGGAGGAGATCATGGAGAAGATCTCCACGGCCAGCATATATTTTCCCCTTGTGCTTAGATAGGTTGGAATAAAGCACAGCCAAACACTGCAGAAGACCAACATGCTGAAGGTGATGAATTTGGCTTCATTGAAACTGTCAGGCAACTTCCTAGCTAGAAAAGCAGCAGAGAAGCTAACCAGAGCAAGAAAACCCATAAAGCCCAAAACACAGTAGAACATAACCGATTCCTCATTACACTCCATGATGATTTCTTCAGACATTGACTGCATATCAGTATCTGGGTATGGTGGAGAGGTTATCAGCCATGCAGCACAAAAACATATTTGAACAAGGAAGCAGGATGGAAGAATGAAACTGACCATTCTTCCCCTCACCCATTTCTTTAATTTGGAACCAGGTTTGGTGGCCATGAATGCTAGAACCACAACAAAGGTTTTGGCCAATACACAAGAAATCGCCACAGAAAAGATGAGGCCAAAAGCTGGTTGGCGAAGCAGACAAACAATCTTTTCAGGTCTCCTAATAAATAGAAAGACACAAAGGAAGGAGAGGAGGAGGGAAACTAAGAGAGTGTAAGTGAGATTCCGGTTGTTGGCTTTGACGATAGGAGTGTCTTTATATTTCATGAAAATTTTTATTACAAAAATAGTCATTAAAGCAAAGCAAAGAGAAAGAGCAGCCAGACTGATCCCCAAGGGTTCTTCACAGGACAAAAAGGTGATCCGCTTTGGAATGCACATATTTTTCTCAGAATTGGGATATTGATCTTTGGGACATGGAGAACAATCATCCTTGTCTGAAAAAGAAGACAGTGGAATAGTCGCAGTTGATTATAGACAGTTTTGTACACTCATATACCTAGGGTATAATGGGGCTTAGAACCATTATATTTGGAAATTTCCTACCCTTCTCCTTTGAAATTTTCCCCTCTGGGCATAGATAGCAATCATAGCAGCAAAATGACTCCCCTTCTTTCTTGGCCTTGCTATATCCTGTCTCACAAGGATCATTACACAAAGACAGAGGCAGTACCTATCAATGAATGAAGAAGTTAGGATTAGACAGCATCACCACCAGATGGATTCATAGCTGGCTGACCAGCCGTAGTCAGTGTCCTCAATTGAACAACACTGCATGGAGGGGTGCCCCAGGCCTCTGTTCTGTGCCCAGTGCTCTTCAACATCTTAATCAATGATTTAGATGAGGGGATAGATGAGGAACTCATCAAATTTGTAGACGACATCAAGCTGACAGGAATAGCCCAAACTCCAGAAGACAGGCTTAAGACACAGGAGGATCTTGACAAATTTGAACATTCGGGACTATCCAACAAAATGAAAGTCAATAGTGAAAAAAGTAAGGTACTACATTTAGGCAAGAGAAAACAAAAGCACAGGTACAGTATAGGTGGCACCTTGTTCAATAGTAGTAATTGTGAGAAGGATCTCGGAATTCTAGTGGACAATCAGTTAAACATGAGCAGCCTAACACAGTTTTAGGCTGCATTATTAGGGGGATAGAATCAAGATCACGTGAAGTGTTAATACCATTTTACAATGCCTTAGTAAGGCCACACTTGGAATACTGCATCCAGTTTTGGTCACCACAATGTAAAAAAATATGTTGAGACTCTAGATAGAGTACAGAGAAGAGCAACAAAGATGATTGGGGGATTGGAGGCTAAAACACATGAAGAACAGTTCTGGAATTGAGCATAACTAGTTCAATGAAGAGAAGGACTAGGGGTAACATGATAGCAGTGTTCCAATATCTCAGGGGTTGCCACAAAGAAGAGGGAAGAGTCAAGCTATTCTCCAAAGCACCTGAAGGCAGGATAAGAAGCAATGGATGGAAACTAATCAAAGAGAGAAGCAACCTAGAACTAAGGAGAAATTTCCTGACAGTTAGAACAATTAATCAGTGGAACAACCTGCTTCCAGAAGTTGTGAATGCTCCAGCATTGGAAGTTTTTAAAAAGAGACTGGACAGCCATTTGTCTGAAATGGTATAGGGTTTCCTGCCTAAGCAGTGGGTTGGACTAGATGACCTCCAACTCCCTTCCAACATCATCATCGTTATTATTATTATTATTATTATTATTATTATTATTATTATTATTATTATTATTATTATTATTATTATTATTGTTATTGTTGTTGTTGTTGTTGTTGTTGTTGTTGTTGTTGTTATGTATTTTAAGATACAGAGAGGAAAGGAAGTGGTTGGAGAGATACTGCTAATGTAGAATCAACAGGAAAATAAATTGACTAATAATCAGAAGTTATGTCATGACACCATTTTGAGATGGAATGGGTCTGAAATAATAATTCATTAAACATCTATCTTTATTGGCATCTATGGCTATTCATAACCATCATCCCCATTTTCCAAAGACAATTTCTGTACTCCTTAGTTAAAGATAGTTGTGGGATTCAGCCAGTTTGCACCACTTCAGCAGAAATAGTAACTAATTGTTTGTTGCCCAGGCCCAGAATAGACTTCTGGAAGTGGCATCCACACAGAGAATTGGTTGTTCATATATTTGAATCCTACCCCTGGTGAAAGATGGTTCTGAACTTAAAGTCAACAGACTGATGAAATGTAGTACACTGGATTTCAGTGTTTACTTCTAAACCATGAAAACCTTTATCCATAATTAACAGGGGCCCAAAATAAAGGCTACAATGCTTTATACCAGGGGTATCAAACTTCATCATGAAAGACTGCACCCATTCCAGCTCTGGCAATGCGAAAAAAATTGTGATAGGTTGTGACACATCAGGCGATGCAGCCAGTTTGACACCTATGCTTTATACCAGAGGTTCCCAACCTTTTAGGCACCGGGGCCCAGTTCCATGGAGAAAGGTGCATGGTTTTGTGTGCTGCCTGTATCCCACTGATGGAGCTTTGCTTGTTTGTGCGGACCGGTTGCTTGGTTGCGTGCCACAGCCTCGTACCGGTCCACAGACTGAGGGTTGGGGATCCCTGCTTTATACCAACTATTAGAAAAGTAAACATTCTTACAGATAATGTTTTCTTTCTCCAGTACATTTCTACTTAGTACAAACGTTCTCCAGAGATGATGCTCTGAGACTTTCATTAATAATAACATTTTTATAGTATATAAATGAAGACAGACCAATGTACATTCAAACAGCTAACCTGATTAAAGCTGACTGGCCACGTGATGGAATCTACAGAAATATTGAAGAACTTGTCTGCTGGAGCTGTGGGATCTATTATTCCAACTTTGACCCTCACAAAGGATTGGTTTGGGAATGTGATCCAGTTAATAATATCATATCCACCAATGAATTCTCCATTTTTATCAAAGGAGATCTTTTCACCAACACTGTTGTTGAATCTGACACTTTTCAGAAAGGAATGAACCTGAAATACATCAACATGGAGAGAGGGACAAAAAAAGAACAGAACATAGGGAGGCAAAAATAATTCATTTATTCAAAACATATATATGGATGCCTCTTTACAGGGAGAATATATAAAATCTGTTTTTAGTTGTAAGCCACTACCAAACAAATAACATAACAATTATTCAAAAATAGCAGTAGAGGTAAAATATCAGATTACTGAAATAAAATTAGCATAAAATTTCAATATAAATAAGCAAATAAACTGCACTTTGTAGTTTAATAGTAAAAGCTACGTAAACTAGAAGTCTTCTGATAAATATAAAATACAAGGATGCATAAGGCTACAAAGTTTACTACATTTCTTACTTCTAAAGTCCTATTAAAATGCCAGGTTCTAAAATTATAAAAATATCACACAATTAAAATGTCTTCAGACTTTTTTCACCTTTAATAAAATATATAAACCATACAATTTAGTTTATTGTTTTTCACTTGAATGAGAATCTGAAAACTTTTGGGGGGCGGGTGTAAATAAAAATAAAAATTTATAAAAAGTGGTTGTGTAATGTGCACACTGTTAAACTAATATTTTGTTGAAGTGCCTTTTGATTTTATAACAGCATTCAGTCTTTTGCATGGTACATCTTATCTTCGTAATTTATGCCCACTCTTCCATGCCAAAGCAGTCCAAATCTGTCATATTGCAAGGGCATCTCCTGTGCATTGCCTTTTTCATGTCAGCCCACAGATTTTTAATTAGATTCCGATCTGGGGTCTGCCTGGCCCTTTCAAAACTTTGTTCTTCTTCTGGTGAATTGATTCTTTTGCTGGTTTGGAGGTATGCTTTGGGTCATTGTCATATTGAAAGGTGAAAATCCTCTTCATCTTCAGCATTTTAGCCGAAGCCTGAACTCTTTGTACCAAAATTGTCTGATATTTGGAACTGTTCATAATTCTTTCCACTTTGACAAAAGCCCCAGTTCCAGCTGAAGAAAAGCAGTCCCAAAGCATAGTGTTCCCACCAACATGTTTCATTATGGCTTTGTTGTACCTTTCATGATGCACAGTGTTATTTTTGTTTCTAAAATCCTGTTTGGAATTTGATAGCCGAAATTTCAACATTGGTCTTTTCAAACCATAATACAGTTTCACACATGGTTGTGTCAGACCTAATGCACATTTTTGCAAAATGTTGCCATTCTTGGATGTTTTTTCTTTGTAAGAAAACTCTTCCATCTTTCCACCCTGGCCCACAGCCCAGACATGTGAAGAACATAGGAGATTGTTGTCACATATGGTACACAATTAGTACTTGTCAGAAATCCTGCAGCTCCTATAATGCTGTTGTAGGCCTCTTGGCAGCATCTTGGACCAGTTTTCTTCTTCTTTTCATTAATTTTGGAGGGACATCTAATTGTTGGTAATGTCAATGTTGAGCCATATTATCTCCACTTGTTGATGACTGTATTTACTGTGTTCTATGATACAGTATATTCAACAGCTCAGAAATTATTTTGTACTCTTCTTCTGACTGAAACCTTCCCACAATGAGAGGCCTTTGATATTTTTTCTGCTCTTTGCAGATCATGGCTTTTGCTATAAGAGGCAACTGAGTAAATGTCAAAAATCCTTCTAGAACAGCTGTACTTTATACAAGCTAGATTAGAGACATTTAAATTGGTGCAGGTGTGTACTGACTACCAATTTCCATCAGTTTGAATGTGATTTGTTAGTTCTGAACACAGTCATATCCCTACTTACAGGAAAGTGGGCACAGTTAAGCAACCAATTTATTCTATATTTTACTGTTATTTTTCCCGTAAAAGATTTCAGTTATATTTTCAACTGAATTGTACAGCTTTAAGACTTAATATCAATATTCCTAGAGAATATTTGCTAGAGTTTGCCAACAGATGTTGCAACTACAGATATTTTGGTTTCTACACTACACTAATTACTGGCTTACCTCCCACCACATTTGATTGTGAAACTTTTTAGTTCCTTTTTTCACTATTGCTTTTTCCCGGGATTTGGAGAAATACAGAGATTGCAAAGCTTGTGCCACAACATGGACTGCATTGTAAATATGGTAACTCTGACTGCTCATGTGTGTTTCAAACACAGATATAGGAAGGGTCTCAAGCCTCTCCTGTCCGGTACATTTCTTCTCAGACTTCTCCATTTTTGAATTTGCAAAGAAACAATCAAATGCCTGTTCCCAAAAATCTTTCCAAAAATGATCATGTTGGTTGTTTTTTGGACTTAGGTTCTGAAGAAATTCCTGGAAGTCTTGGACCTCCTTTGAGTGAACTGCAAAGGATAAAGCACCATGTAGGAAATGGATATCCCAAGATTTATGAATAGACACTGAAGTGTAATCTGTCTGAGCAGTTATAAGCCAGATCTTTTCCTTCTTTGGTATATCCTCCACTTCTGAAAACTGGAGGAAACTTCTCAGAACTGATAAGGAGTAAATGTTACCATATAAGATGATCACATTAGCTGTGCTGTTCATGAGAACATGGTATATATGTAATCCTTCATCTATGATATCAGTAAAATCCGTGTAAAAAGCTACATTTGGGAACTCTGCTATGAATTCAATGCAGATGCCATGCTCAGAAAATATTGGGAGTATCTCCTTGAGAAATTTCTCTCCTTTTTCATCTTTTACTAGAAGAATTCCAATCCAGATCCATCTAAAATATAGCAATAACCGCAGAAGGCCATTACGTTGGTGGGATTCATCTGGAAACATTTGTTGGAAGAAAATTGATTGAGTCTTTCCATCCATGACTTGAGCTGAGCCATAGGTCAACTACTGAAAGATAAACATATGCAATTCCTAAGGTCTATGTAAGCTTCTGAAAATGTAAATTTTCATTTGAGTCTTTTACTACCATTGAGTTTAAATCATGAAATACTAGTCATTTTTATTTTGTAATATCAGTCAAGGTGTCACTTTTAAGGTATCACTAAATATCTTTCCCTGGAAGTAATCTCATTGTGAATATTTTACATTTGAACCTTAGTTCAGCTTCTAGAATTGGAGAACAATTTGCTAGGCCAAATATCCCCACTGTATGTTCAGAATTATAGTTATTCATGCTGCTATGGTGATCCTACCAAGCAGAAAATAATAACTAGGAATCTGAATGTTCTCTTCTTTTTGCAAAAACATACAGATGTCTGGGGAGGTATGGCAGAATGATAATGTAAATGTTCAGTACATTTTACCTGAGGAACTTTGTAGATGCACAATATAGTTGCCATGTGAAGAGCAATGTCAGGTCCCCCAATGACTGCAGCCAAAATTTTTGGGATCCCACACTTGTAGTTAGGGATGAATTTTCCCTGAGTGAAAGGCAGCAACATTGAAGCAAAGTAAGTCCAGCCTGGACTAAAATGGCTGTTAAAAATGTGAAAGCCCAGTGTTACATTGGGTAGAATTTGGGAGTTTTCATTAATCTGTTGTACAGTAAACACTAAGGCCAGGATATGCTGGTAATTCTGAAAATATATTCTGTAAAACCAAAAAAATCTCAGTTAAGAATGCATGAAGAGTTGTTTGTTTCTTATTATGGCTTTTCAAATTTTTCAGTACATCATATTTTGTGCAATGTGTTTCAGTACAGTATTTTTATTATTCATTTAAGACCCTCAAAAATACAAAGCAAAATACTATATAGTACATATATACCCTCCCAGAAACTGGAGTTTATTTTTATTACAAATCAAATACTGGCTTCAAATTGGAAGCATTATTTCTTAACACTTGAGAAAGGCCTAGTATCCAACCTCAGTTTTTAAATATTGATGAAATTGCTAAATTTATGTGCCAGAAATATAAAATGAGAAACGTTATCATGGGAAATAGTGGTAGATTCTTCTGAACCTTGGTTGCACAGTGGTTGAAATGCAGTTTTGTAAGTTAATTCTGCCAACTGCCAAGAATTTTATCTTGACCAACTCAAGGTTGACTCATCCTTCCATCCTTCCAAGGTCAGTAAAATGAGGACCTAAGTTTTTTGGGGAAAATATGCTGATGTTATAAACTGCTCAGAGAATGCTGTAAAGCACTGTAGAGCAGTGTATAAGTTTAAGTGCTATTGCTTTGTTCATAAATGAAGACATACATTACTCTATATTTATATATATTTAGATGGGATTTTTCTTTTATAAATGGAGATTTGGCCCTTTTTCAACTTTACATGGAAACTGAAGCACAATATATTTTCACATAAAATAAATCTAGCATCCTGTTTAAGATGCTTCTTTCCAAATCTTTTGTCATTAAAGAAAACACTTGAAGCCTCATGTCATTTAAAAGCGATATCCAGAATCTGACAATGAAATGGTGTTGTACTTACATAAGTCCATCATGAAATCCCTGAGAAGGATTTTGACTAAAATCAATGGGTTTAGAAAATGTAAAAAATACAGAAATAATGCCAGCAATGTTAACATCTCCATGCTGATGATATGTGTGGTGAATAGGAACAGGCTCATGAAAGCCACACTGAAGGTTTGGATCCTTGCACACCATTTGAAGTATTACTATTAACAGTAGCTCCAAGGATATTAACATCTACCATGAGTGTCTTCTTTTTGTGCGCAAATGCCTCTGTCTCCAACATGATCTTTGAAGTAGATAAGTTTGACCTGTATTCTTGAAATTTTTTTCAAAGAGAAATGGAGAGTGTAGCATACTATCAATTCAGCTCACAAATCTTTGGGTCTTCCATCCATGGGAAGGAATATCATGGGAACAATAAAAAACATCCTTCAGGGCCAGTTCCTCCTTTTTCCAAAGAGACCCATAGGATTTGGAAGAGACAAACAAGCTAATTTCACTATGATATTGACACTGTCACCTATGTAAACAACTTAAAACCATCTGAAAGCCTCCTGAGGCAAAAAGGAATGAACCACAAGACAAAAATAAAATCTTGGGATCTATAAAACAAAATAGAGATGTAAATATAGGCATAGGTATAGGCATTGATTATAGCTACTGTGGAACTATTCTATTCTATTCTATTCTATTCTATTCTATTCTATTCTATTCTATTCTATTCTATTCTATTCTATTCTATTCTATTCTATTCCATTCCTCCATTATACTATACTATTCCTCACTCTCTAGTCCAGGGGTAGTCAACCTTGGATCTTTTATGACTAGTGGACTTCAAGTCCCAGAATTCCTGAGCCAGCATGGCTGGCTCAGGTATTCTGGGAGTTGAAGTCCACGAGTCATAAAAGAGCCAAGGTTGACTACCCCTGCTCTAGTCCATTTATTCCAGTAAGATTGATGCATTCTTCCAGAAATAGATTTATTGAACTTCTTGGTTGTCATGTGGTTGAATTCAGATATTTCAGATTGACATATTATGTTGTATGAGTCCCATAAGGGAGATAGGGCGGTATATAAATTTAAATAATAATAATAATAATAATAATTCATGAAAACCGCATTGGGAAACAGAGAACCACATGATGTAGCTGAGTGGGAATGGGGTTAATAGCCACAGAACAGAGTGGAAAAAATCAGCTTTGGTATATACTCAAACCATATTTTTAATTTAAAAACTGAATAATATAGGAGTCAGAATACAGTTTGTGTAACTCTCTCAGAAGTTGGAATATGGTGAATCAGTTCTCCACTAATCAACCATTTGACCTATGTTGTAATATCCTCATATAACATTCTAACTAAGGGAAGTCCTTAACAGTATGACCTTAATTCAACTCTGAATTATAATCATAAGTCATGCCAATCATTCAGTGGGTCATTTATGACCTTTTTTTTAAAGTAGATATTTAGTGAAGGTCTTGCTTATTAAACAAATCCATTGTTTATTGAAATTTTGCACCAAAATAGATTAATCTAGAGTAGACTAGACTAGACTAAAATAATAAAATAAAATAAAAGATCATATGACTGCAGGGTGCTGCAAACAGCCATTAGTGCAGGTCAATTGCCAACCATCAAAATATGGTCTGTTCAGTCATCTGAATAGAAGCTGAACAGGAGGGGCTGTCAAAGTTCTCCCATCAGAACTTTGATTCCATGTTGTGGTCATGGTGATGTGCCTGTTAACTTTCTCCTGTCACTTAGCATTTAATTGTAACTCAAGAACTACCTATAGTTGCAGGAGCCAGTGGTAATAAAGGAAAAAGCTTTTCCCACAATAGTTTGATCAAATGCCATTTTTGAATCTATGAAAACAGCACAAGGAGCACCTTCAGGAGGGTTTATATACTTTGCAGAGACTGGTGCAGAGTGATGCACTAATCCACAATATAAAAACCTGGCCTTAACCAGGATTGCTCCATTTGATAATTATGCATAGTCAGCTGCTAGGACCATTGTAGCTGAATTGGTCTTGTTGTCCTTTTTGGCATTATAAAAATATTTTTCCTTTTGGGGGATTTGCAGTGAGCTTTCAAAATTAGTGAATAAGAAAGCAAAACTGTCACCTACCAATCAGGATTTTGTTTCAGCACTGTGCGAGGATCCACTTCGCTCAAAGATCACCCCTGCCCCACCTAGTTTCTTTTTTTCTTTCTTCTCTTTTTGCACCTTGGTTTTGCAGTACTTACAATTTTTGTAATTCTGCTTTTTTATTTTCTTTTTACTCCTAACTGATTTTGCTACCTAAAATCCCTGGTTATCCCTCTTTCATGCCCTCTTAATGTGACTAGATGGACACATGACAAGAAAAGCATGCTCCATTAAACTCAAATTAACTAAATCTTGCACAGTTTCTAGAGCCTGAAAGATTAAACGTGAATTCTAATTCCATTTTGGAACTACAAATTAATAATTGGACATACTTCTCATTCTCTAACTAACCAATAGAATCGTCTTCACTTTGCAAAAGCTAGAATGCATTCCACTGCCCACCGAAAACTTCAGGTTCATCAGAGAGCTCTGGAACCCTGAACTCATAGAACATAGAATAAAAGAGTTGGAAAGGACCTTGAAGATCTTTCAGTCCAATCCCTAACTTTTGCAAGAGACCCTATACCATTTCAGATAAATGATTGTCCAGTCTCTTTTTGAAAGCCTTTAGAGCACCCACAATTTCTGAAGGCAATATATTCCATTGGTTGATTGTTCTCACTATTAGGTCATTTATCCTTAGTTCACGGTTACTTCTCTCCTTTCTAAGTTTGCATCCATTGTTTCTTGTCTTGCCTTTTGGTACTTTGAAAAATAGTTTGACCCCCTCATCTTTGTAGGAGCTCCTCAAATACTGGAACACTGCTATCGTATCTCTGCTACTCCTTCTTTTCATTAGACTAGACAAACCCAATACCTCTGTGCCCCTAAAAAAGACTCATCACAGTCTTCCCTAGCAGCACACTTATAAAAGGAATTCTTGTCAAAGCAATAAAGGTTAGTGGCAAACACTATAGGCTCTGTATATTTAAATCTCATTTCTATCAGTGAAACACTTGATATTTTCTATAGAACACTACACCCTACCTCTTTTGCTACAGCCACAAAAAAGAGACGTTCCAAAGTCTCTGCAAATGTGAACCAGTGGCCAACCATAGAAACCAGCATGATTTCATAACCTGGCATTTAGAATCATGTTATGCCTTTCAGTCAACTGGTGCAACATTCTCTGTACTCAACAAATCGATGATCATGGAACATGCTATTCTATATAGTGAACATACTGGGTACAGAGATCACTCAATTTCTTAGAAAAAGACCATTGTGTAAATGGGATACTAGTGTGTATGGGACTTCTGGTGGTATTTATTTGGATTTGCCAGAATTGTGTTTTTTTCCCAAGAGATGTTAATTGCCTTTGCTACTAAGAAGAAGACATATGGCCAACTGGAATATCTTTTGAATTTACCCCACTTTTCATTGAGTACCACTACATATGATGTGTACCAGAGGATCCGTAAGATTTGATTGTTTCAGAGACAATTCATAGGACCTCCCTGTTTAACCAAAGGCTCATTTATATTTAATCTCAACTTATTTTTACACATTCTATTCTGCATGTAAGTTAAGATGAACAATAAAGACAATTTAATAATTCACATGAAATCTATATATTTAGTGTTAGACTGTTATTCATAACAAAATTATAACCAATCAAATAAGGAGGAACAATTCCCATTGTTCTGTAAAGAGAATTAAGAATTCTTGCCATCCTTAGCCCCACTATATACTGATATATGTCAATAAATAAAGTTCTGCTATTGTTGGTTTATTTATACAATTTGTTCTCAGATATCCAAATCTCAGGGGAGAGGAAAAATGGAATACCAATCTATCTGCACATTGCTTTTTTGGTTAAATGTCCAAGTTCTTCAACATGTACATATCAAAAATATCAGGGAAACAAACAGATTTCTTAAAACTTTCTTTTCATGAGTTGATGTTTATTGTTCAGTTCAGGTCTCATCACAATGATAAAGCACTTGGGAAAAAAGATGCACACCAATAAGCCAGCACTGGAGGAGATCATGGAGAAGATCTCCACAGCCAAGGTATATTTTCCCCTTGTGCTTAGATAGGTTGGAATAAAGCACAGCCAAACACTGCAGAAGACCAACATGCTGAAGGTGATGAATTTGGCTTCATTGAAACTGTCAGGCAACTTCCTAGCTAGAAAAGCAGCAGAGAAGCTAACCAGAGCAAGAAAACCCATAAAACCTAAAACACAATAGAACATAACCGAATCCTCATTGCACTCTATGATGATTTCTTCAGACATTGACTGCATATCAGTATCTGGGTATGGTGGGGATGTTATCAGCCATGCAGCACAAAAACAAATTTGAAGAAGGACGCAGGATAGAAGAATGAAAATGACCATTCTTCCCCCCACCCATTTCTTTAATTTGGAACCTGGTTTGGTGGCCATGAATGCTAGAACCACAACAAAGGTTTTGGCCAATACACAAGAAACTGCCACAGTAAAGATGAGGCCAAAAGCTGGTTGTCGAAGCAGACACACAATCATTTCTGGTCTCCCAATAAATAGAAAGACACAAAGGAAGGAGAGGAGGAGCGAAACTAAGAGAGTGTAGGTAAGATTCCGGTTGTTGGCTTTGACGATAGGAGTGTCTTTATGTTTCATGAAGATTATTATTACCAAAATAGTCATTAAAGCAAAGCAAAGAGAAAGAGCAGTCAGACTGATCCCCAAGGGTTCTTCACAGGACAAAAAGGTGATCCGCTTTGGAATGCACATATTTTTCTCAGAATTGGGATATTGATCTTTAGGACATGGAGAACAATCATCCTTGTCTGAAAAAGAACACAGTGGAATAGTTACAACTGATTATAGACAGTGTTGTACTTTCATATACCTTGGGTATAATGGGGCTTAGTACCATTATATTTGGAAATTTCCTACCCTTCTCCTTTGAAATTTTCCCGTCTGGACATAGGTGGCAATCATAGCAGCAAAATGACTCCACTTCTTTCTTGGCTTTGCTGTATCCTATCTCACAAGGATCATTACACAAAGACAGAGGCAGTGCCTATCAATGAATAAAGAAGTTAGGGTTAGA